CTCCTCGGGCTGCAGGGAAGAGAGTTGGGGTCTGTGCCCCGGTGCCACGGCTCCCGGTGGCGCTGCTGGCCCCGCAGCAGAGCCGGGCACCTCCCCCACGTGCTTCTGGTGAGCTAAAGCCCTGCAAGAGGCACTGCTGGGCATTCCTCCTGCTCTCACTAGCCCCTGCTGCTTTCCCCTGACCGTTCAGTGCAGCTGGCACACCCCCTGTGTGGTTCATGGGCAGTGTGGATCTCCGTGCTCAGAGCTCTGAACGCCCCACTCGTGGGCAGTGGGTGTTCACTGGGCAGCACCCTCCTCCTCCCACACCTCTGTGGTCACCTCAGCGAGACCCAGCGTGGATCTCCCTCCTCTTCAGCTCTGAGATGCTCTCTGTGGTGCTGCAGATCCCTGCTCAGTGAGGAGTCTGGTGCCCTTGGGTCGGGTGTCTCTGATTAAGGGTGTTTGGCACCTCTCGGGATAACCCCAGCTGCTGCAGGGTGGGCTTGTGCTGTGATGGACCTGGGCTGAGTCTGCAAGGTCCTGCCCCTGCTCAGGGCAGTGCTTTTTGCCCAGCCTCTGGGGACAGATGGGTGGTTGCTGTGGCTGGCTGGCGTGCAGAGGTGTGAGCAGCCTCCTCTGCTCCTCCTGGTTGCTGCTCCTTGGCCTCGAGCTCGTGAGGAGCCCCTGAGGCTGAGTGAGCCCTGTCTGTGTGCTCCCTGCTCCTGCCCACACCACGAGCTCCACGTGGAGTTTCCCTTCTGGGTAACACCCTGTGGCACCTCTGAGCAGCATTAGCTCCTGCTCAGCTCTGATGTTTTTAGGGGTTTCTGGTGGTTTGTGTAGTGGGAGCAGCAGATCCCTGTGGGCTGGGCCGTGGCCTGGCTTGGAGGCAGAGGATCCCTCCCAGGGACTACCCTGGAAGAGCAGAGGGAAGCCACCCTGGCAGCCAGTGAGGGCACAGTGCTGGCTGCCTGCTGAAGCCCCCCGGGCAGTTCACAGCCTCTGTTCTGTAGCCCACAGGCCTGCAGGTCATTCACTGAGCAGGTTTGGTGTGTTGAACAGCCCAGTGCCATTTGCAGAAGGAACAAGCCCAGGTAAGGGAAGCAGAGCAGGTGCCAGGTCAGATGTCTTCTGGGCAGGCTTTGCCATTCAGAATGACACTCAAAGTGAAGCTGGTGAGGGCTCTGAGGAGAGGGTCTGATGAGGAGTGGCTGAGGGAGCTGGGGGTGCTGAGCCTGGAGCAAAGGAGGCTCAGGGGAGACCTTCTGGCTCTGCACAGCTCCTGACAGGAGCCTGGAGCCAGGGGGGGGTCGGGCTCTGCTCCCAAGGCAATGGGCTGAAGTTGCACCAGGGCAGGTTTTATTTGGGTATTGGGTAGAACTTCTTTGGTGGTGAGGCCTTGGCCCAGGCTGCCCAGGGAGGTGCTGGAGTCACCAGCCCTGGAGGGGTTCAAAAAACTTGTGGATGTGGCAGCTGGGGACATGGTTCAGTGGTGATGGGAGTGTTGGGTTGATGGCTGGGCTTGGTGATCTTGGATTCAGGTTCTGGTGTGGTCTGAGCCGTGGCTCACCCGTGATTGTGTCAGTGCAGAATGATCCTAAAGGGGTCTTCCTGCCATGCAGGGGATGCAGCTGGAAGTGACAAAAGAAAAGCAGCCTCCCAACTCCTCTAAAGAACCCAGCTGTGCTTTAAAGCCCTTTCCAAACTATCTGTTTAACAGAGAGGAGCTTCAAAAACCAGGGGGGAAAAGGCTGTGTGAGTCGTTGCTGTGGAGCAGAGGCTGGTTTGAGAGCCCTGCTCCCCAGCAGAGCCCCGTGGGCTCCCCCTGCACACCCCCTCCTCAGTGGAGGGGACTTGCATCTACTCCTAGAGGGGCTTAATAAGAGCCTTTTACCTAAAACTCAGCTCAAGCAAGGCTGAAGGTAGGACTGTTCCTGTCAGAGCTGGTGACAAAAGCCCAGTCTGTAACATGAGGGTGGTGGGAGGTCACCAGTGGTCGCTGAGCTTGGCCACCACGAGGGCACCCAGCTGCTGATCTCAGCATCAGGAGCACGGGGCTGAGGTCACACCAGGTCTGAACTCACCTGGTGAATGTTCAGCCTGGTGCTTTCTGCACTCTTCTTTTGCTTCAAAATGTTTCAAATAACAATCTGAAGTGGGAAATAAAAAAAAAAACCACAACCCACCAAAAATCCATTTCCCCTTCCTGAATTTCCTGTTATGAGAGGAGTGAAGCAAACCAGCCCCCTGAGGCATTTGTCCTGTGAGAACCTTCCCTTGCTCAGGAGCTGCTGCACAGTGAAAGGTGCTCTGGCCCAGGATGGCTTTGGGCCCAGTCTTCAATACTGACAATCCATCAAACCTCTGTAGAACTTCTGCTCCCCAGTGGAAACCCACTTTCTGCTGTCTCCAGCTTCTTTTACCTGTTTTCTGCTCTTCATGTTTTACATCTCTTGACAGTATGTTTGCTACAAGTGAACCTTATCCTATCATTCACAGACTGGTTGCCAAAACCTCTCTGACTTCCCCACCATGGCCTGAAGTGAAACTTCCAGATCCAGCAGAAGAAGCAAAGTACCATGCAGGTAAAGGTCTCGAGTCTCCAAGTGGAGACTGGCACTCCAGGATTGCCACTGGTGGCCTGATTGAACATAAATAACTCCAGTAATTTGAGCTGGTTTTTGTTCTTTGTATTTTTGACTCATTTCTGGCGTGTGTTCGTGTCACTGGACTTATCCTCCAGCTGCTGATATTGGAGATCTGGGTAGAATATGAGGTCTGCTTAGTTTATGAAAGCTTGTGACAGTCCCAGAGGAGTCTGACCTGTGTGATGTGTTCTTTCTGGAGCATGGAACAGGCCTTTCCCTCAGGGCTCAGCACTCCCTTTTCCCTTAGTGGCTGCCTCAGGGAGCTGAAGCCAGCGGGGGAGCCGGACGGTGGGCACGGCAGGAGAGCTGGGTGTCGTGGGCAGAGCAGAACTCTGGAGCCAGCCCCAGCAGCTGGCTGGTGGGCAGGAGGCAGAGCTGCTGGGGTGTGACCTCGGGCAGTGACAGGGCTGGGGAAGCTGCTGGTGTCCCCACGCTGAGCCAGGGCCCTGGGGCGCAGCGGGTGGAGGGAGCGCCTGGCCCGGGCAGTGCCCAGCCAGCCAGGGCACCCTCCTCACTGCTGAGCCTGGCTGGGGCTGCCACCAGGCACAGGCTCTGCTGGTGGGGGGGGATGCTACAGCTGGAAGGGGAGGAGGCACATGCTGAGCCTCCTGTGGCCCACGTGGGGCTGGTGTCACCGGCCGGGGTGGGGACAGGACGTTTCTCAGGGCTGGGCCCCAGCGGGTGAGGTTCTCCTGCAGTCCTGGGGTGGTGGCAGTGAGCAGCCGTGTGCCCCGGGCAGGCACTGAGCCCCAGGCAGAGGGACTGTCTCACTGGGCAGCCTTGGCATCGCTGAAAGCCACCTGACTGCTCTGCTTTAGGCAGGAGAGACCTGGGAAGTAAAAGCAGAGAAGGAGAGAGTGGGAGGAGAAAAGCTGAGCTGTGGGCACCTTTTTGCAGCTAGTCTGCTGTCATCTGGCTGAAGTGCACGAGTGACTGGGAGAGGGATGTGCTTTGGAGAGAGCCTCCTCTGCTCCCCACCTCCTCTCTGGCTGTTTCTCATCCTTTTTATCTCCTCTGCACTCCTGCACTGCTGAAGTGACAGATGAGTGTTCTGTCCCTGAGCATCAGTTGACCCAGTGGTGAACCATAAACTGCTCGGTTTGAGCTGCTGGAGCCCTGTGGTGAACAGGGTCCCATGTTCCCCAGACTGATTCTCTGGGGATCCTTGGGGCTGCTGTGATTTCCATCCCTTGTAGCCTCCTGCTGTTTAAGAGCTTGCATCATTATCTCCTGGCTGTGCCTATCCAAAGCAAACAACAGGGAGAGCATTTGAATCCTGCCTTCTGTCTCCCTGCTGGCTGGGGAAACAAGCAGGGATATTTTCGGCAGGGTCTCTCCACATGGTGCTGAGGTACAAGCCATGCTGATAATCACATGGTGACATCACTTGATGTTTCCTGACACTAGAGATGTTCAGAAGAGCTATCAACAACTTCAGAGCTCAAGTACAGTGAAGAAAATGTACCTTTTTTGGTTACAAAAGGATGATAAAACCTCATTGGTAGGAAGTTTATTTGCCAAGAAATAAACCTTGTTAGAACACGACCCTGCATGGGGTTTGGGAACAGAAAATTGTAGGCCAGCATTTTGAAATTCTGGTTTTGAAGTGTTGACCACAGGACTACAGATCCACTGAGATCAGTAGTTCAGAGCTGGAGGAAGTTTATTGTGCCTGTTGTGCAGCTGAAGGACACAAAGAGAAAAGGTTTGTGTTTTCTCTCTGGATTTTTGGTAGTGGGTCACTGTGAACCAGAGACAAGAGCACAGTGGATTTTCCTTCTGGGGCAGGAATTCCAGTAACACAGAAGCCAAACTCCTCATCGTGGCAGGAGCTGCAGCAACCTCTGCCTTGCAGAGAATTTTCTGCCTCTAACAGTTGCTGGGTTGGAGCTTGGTTGCTTCCAGAGTGTTCCTGTAAGGGCTTGGTTTGGTTTGCCTGGCTGCTGAATTCTTGTCTGTCCCAAATAGATGTTGTTTTGTTTACACTCCAAGAAAAAATGACTTGGCCACTTTTGAGGGTGATGAAGAAAAGTGTATTTTTCCAGTTACAGAAAAGTTGCTGTTTTTCTGAAGAGCTCAGGAGGGTGGAAAGCTCCTATTTGGCAGTGGAATGGTGCTCTTTAAGCAACCCCTTTTGATGTTCCCATAAAAATTGGTTTTGGCTTCACTGCTGAGGAAGCTGCTCACAGAAGATGGAGTTTGTCCATGTGCTGGGGGTTGTCCCTGGGATTTGTCCTGCTCCTGGCACCTGCTCTGCGTGCTTCTGTGTGTAGGAAGAGCTTTTTCTGGAAAAGAGTGGGGAAAGGTCTCTCCTGCGTTTGCTGCAGGTCCACGTTCTCAGGCCAGGCTTTGTCAGGGTGCTGGAGCCCTTTTTTGGGGCTTTGCCAGACTCTCCCTGATGTTCCTGCGTGCCTTAGGCAGGATTCAGAGTCCTGAGCCTCCTGCATGTGACTCGGGAACTGAGGGGAGCTCCCCTCCAAACGCAGGGTGCACAGACAGTGCTCTCTTCTGGGTCACTTTATAGCTGAATACAGCACATGTTAGGGTGCCTAAAAAATAGGCTGAGAAGTCAGGTGAGAGACTAGCTGGGCAGTCTGTGCATTGGGTGTTCCCTTAGGTGTGGGTTTGCCAGCAAGGGAAGTGCAGGTAGGTCCTGAAGTTAACGACAGGGAGGCTCACGCCCCGTTGGAAACAACACTGCTGTGGATCCTGGCCGAGGGATTGCCAGCAGGACAGAGTTCTGCTGGGAGAGCAGCGTGGCTGCCTTCGTTTGGGACAGGTCTTCCCACTGGCTGGGTTCTCCTCTGCCCCCTCCCTGCTCTCTGCCCACAGAGGTGGTGGGAAGGGTCAACGGGCTGATCGCGGCGGGGCGGTACGGGCGGCTCTTCGCCGTGGTGCACTTCGCCAGCAAGCAGTGGAAGGTGACCAGTGAGGACCTGATCATGATGGACAACGTCCTGGAGGCCGAGTGTGGAGACCGAATCCGGATGGAGAAGGTGCTGTGCAGCGTGTGGGGCCAGGGCACACTGCCTGGGAGCATTCCCTGGGACTGAACCCCCCCCGGGCCCTACACCCACGTCCGCAGGAGCTCCCGGCGGGTCTCCTGTTCTGGCTCCAGCTGTTTGCTTTCCCTTAGCTTTGTTCCAGTCTCAGTTACTGTTAGTGATAATATTGTGATTTCCTTTGAACAGGGTTGGAATGAGTCGTGCCAGACTCTGTTAAGAGGCAGATTTTTGCTGTACTAACTTCATCCAAAAAAAGAAAATTACAGTTGTTGTTTCTAGAGGCAGCAGCTGAATGCTGTTTACCTTGAGCCTCCAACACCCAAAATACTTCCAGTGCTCCCAGAGGGACTGTCCCTGCTCAGTGCTTTGCAAGATCCTTATCCTGCTGAGTGTGTTGGCTGGAGGGAGGGGATGGTGCATGAGGGGAGAAGTGCCAAGATGCAACTCCATGGCTTTATCCTTGGCCATGGTTAACTAGCAGGAACTTGTGGAGGCTCATTAATCCAAATCTTAAATGAAGGACTGTGAAGCAGGACTGCTGCCTTAATGTTGTCTGTTAGAGCCAAGCAAGCTGCTAAGGAGAGCTGGGGAGATTTCCTGCTCACCCATTGCTTTGAAGGCCAGTTTTGGGGCAGATTTTAAAGCATTCCTTCAGCCGTGTCCTGCGGCCTGGTATACAAGAGAGAGGAGGGAGTTGCAGGGAGCAGCCAGCTGGGGATGCAGAGGTCTGGGTGGGAGTGGAGGTGAAAAACTTGGCTAACCACCATAACCCTCTGGGGCTTTTACTGGCAAGTACCTGTCCAAAACACAAGTTGGACCATCTCAGGAGTGGTTCTGTGTCAGTGTGGGGCAGGAGGTGGGCTGTGAGAAATGCCACCACCTCTCCTGGTAGCTGCTCCATCGTCCTGCCCGGCCCTTTGGGTGGGCAGCTGTTGAAGTGCCCTCGAGCAAAAGGGCCAGTCCCTGGGGTGCTGAATCCCCCCGAGATGTTCATCTCTATATTGCCCATCCTGAGGCCTCACAATGCAGCATGAGGAAAGTGTTTCTTTATGGGGATCCAAGGCAACTGCCATAAAAATCCAATGGTTTTAGGAGCTGCCATTCACTGGAGTCCCACACCAGACAGATTCTTCTTCTTCCCTGTTTTGCTTTTCATGGGGATCCAAGGCAACTGCTATAAAAGTCCAAGGGTTTTAGGAGCTGCCATTCATTGGAGTCCCACACCAGACAGATTATTCTTCTTCTTCCCTGTTTTGCTTTTCCTATCTGGTACAACTGTTGCTGAGCCAGAACAGAACAGTTCAGTGTGTTCTGATCAGCATGAGAGATACTTCTGAAGTATGCTTCAGCAGGCTCAGCTGT